TAAACGTAACCATATAGATGTCTGATCTAAATTAAGTACCTATTAAACCTAACACCATATTCAATAGTTATTTATGAGTCTCTGTCTCTCTCATGATTTCGAGGTCAGATTCGAATCAGACTTAACTTTATCAACTGAATGTAAGTTGTTCTCTCAACCTTTCTATTTCTCTATTCTCAGTTAGCGAACAGCATAAACTTTGATTACATAGATTCTAGATTATACCTCACCTAACGTCTGAGGGTATAACAGCGAGGCTCCCGTATGACAAATTGGCCGATAGAGTTCTCGCAGTCTGCTCCTGGAACGCACATCCGGATTCTTTGTCGCGAGTAAACTGCTTTAGCGTTGCAAAACTCTCTCAGAGGCTTGATCTTTTCCTCTTTCTAAGTGATCAACAACTCATTATATCTCCTTCCAATCATCCCATTCCCGGGACTTTGCAATAATTTCAAGTGACTTTGTGCACAGGTCGTCCCAATCAAGGTCCTTCCTGGTCAAGCTGTCAAACGTCTCCTAAATCTGTATCTTGATCTCAAATGATTTGATTTTTTTTATTGGTCAATCAGCGTTTTCTGCCAAATGGAAAATTCCGAGGCCCCTCACTTAACCGTTTAGCTCCAAAAATTGTTTCTACAGGGGATATGGGGCAAATTGGGAGGAGTTGTTCTCTGAAATTATAGAACTTTTGAATTGCGGGTTATCGCGATGGCCCATGTGCGCTCCGTGAGTAAAAACTCAGTATTAAAGATAATGGCAATGAACAGGTTTGGAATGTAAAGATACGAATCAAGAATGCACTTAAATACCGGTTGCTTAGAGTTGTTTTTTTTTGCCTCTAGTTCTTCTGATTGTCTCGCCAATTTTACCTTTTTAATTGTCAATTGTTCGGTGTGGATATGTCCTACACCCACTTCCCGGGAAAAATATCCATCGATCGCCGATGACGAGCAGATGGAGATTGGATCCAGATAAGTATAGAGGTCCATCTGGAGCGACACATTTGGAATCAGTATTATCATGGTTAAAGAACTTATTGCTACTATGATCGATTTTCTGAATTATCAGAATTGTCTCTTTCGGGCCAGCGTTCCATGAGAATAAAGATGATATTCAATTAAGTTTTTGAGGACGTGCGATTGAAAATTATGCCAAACCCTGGACTTTTCAGGTTAGATCAGCCGGCCTAGTTGTATTCAGTGCTGTGATGGCTGACTTAAGTTCCGGTCAGCTTGCTGAGTTTTCAGAATTGTGTACATCGGGTCCGTAGGGAAATCATGAGCCAATCAAGTATCCTCAAGTTGGTTATTTTTTGTCGTGTGATTGAAGTCAAAGTCGCTCGAGGCTATGATCTTGTCTAACCCGACTGCTGATTCTGTTACTTGAGTGAAATTGCATTGTATCTGAATGCTCCGTTACATTCCATTTCTCTTCGGCGTACGAATGATTTTAATTGCCTGCCTCCATCTTCTCGTTCATTTTTTATAACTTTTGTTTCCGGTTTCATTCACTTCACAAGTAGGATTCACTAAAAATAAAAAATAAAACCTCGCACATGTATACCGCAATGTCTTTTGTGCTTGAAAAGCAGTTTGAAGCTTAATTTTATTTTGGTGAGCAGCGCGTCTCATGCTCAATTGCAGCATCTGACGCCTTGGTGCACCTCTGTGATCTAAAACAATTTTTCGTTTCTTCCTCAGTTTTTTTGTAGGCGTTAGTTCCTGGAAGACCCAGATATGTGCTTCCACAAAACACGCCTGTGTATCTAAGTTTTTATGCTTAACGTTTTTTATACGACCTGCGCCTACTGAAGATTTCTTCTTCATAGATCATCCAACTCTTGCTGCCTTTTGATAACATCTTGCCTAAAGGCATGTGGGGCGGTTTTTTCCTTTCAAATTCAGGATGAACAAAAAAGGAAAAATATTTGAACAAAATTCTTTTTTGTTTTTAGCTTGCGCGATCTAACACAAATAGTTAACCAATTTCATATAAGCAACAATTTAAGATTTGTTATTGGAATCCACTGACATTGATTAAGCCCCTGCTTTTCAGTTTGCATTTGGTAGACAAAAATTCTTTTTCTAGCTTATAATTTTTCAAACACAAGAACGGGATTAATTTCAGTACAAAAAATTTGTGGACTTTGCATGCAGTTTGCCTTTTTCGATTACAAATTTTGCCAATTCTAACTACATTTCGAGCATCCAATAATTTTTTTTGATTCCGCTTATAATTTCAAAGTTCAGATTAAATTGCTAATTTTGCTTGTTGCGGAATCCGCGACGAATTAAACGTGCCTACAAAGTTTGCGTTATAAGTATTTGTACGCGAAAACCATGGAAACTTCGTAAGAGGAATCCACTTTCTTTTTTTGGACATATATAAACAGTTGTCTCCGGATTCGGCTGAACTACAGGCATTAAATTGTGAGACTATCCAAGTGCAGCGCTAGATTCGTTTTGTCAGAATAAAAATAGTTTTAAAAATTACCATAATTTTATTTTAAAAACTAATCTTTGCGGAATTTGATTGTCTATTTTTGCCCCTAACCTACTAAAAAAAGTTGAAGTGTTTGTGATGAAAAAATTAGAGAAGACAAAACACTTCTGTGAATAGTTTTGCTATTTTTAAATATCAGTACACGCTCAAGTGATCTGACAAATGAAGCAAAAACAAAACTTTCTGTTAGGACAATTGGTTTAAAGACAAACTTTTTAAATTTCTCCACATAGTTTTATGACAATATTGTAACGTTAAGCTAAGTGCTAAGGCCAGCATTTCACAGTGTTTGAATTTATTGACAACTACAGATGTCTCAAAACTTTTTTGAAGTGGTTGTTTGACTCTATTGAATAGCTTTCGACAGCGTTCGATTTTTTTGATCAATATTGTCGCCAAAAAACAATTAAAACTTGCCAAAAAAGCCATGGAAAAATCAAACTTTTTAAATCAGCAACCGACAAAAAAAACTTGAATCATATCTAGCCAGACTAAAAAAAACTGAGTCATCTTGTCTCACAGAGCACCTCATCACAATATTTTAGACTCAAGATGAAATTCAAAAAGATATCACATTAACAAAAAAAGAGAAAGCAACTGAAATAATTTTTGTTCTGTTTTTTATTAGCCCAACATTCCACAGGATCTAACACGATTAATTAACCAACTTCATTTGAACAACAATTTAAAATTTTTTATTGGAATCCACTGACATTGATTATGCTGCTGCTTTTTAGTTCGCATTTGTTCGACAAAAATTCTAGTTCTACACTTTTATTCCTCAAACGCAAGAACGTGTTTAGTTAGAGTAAATAAGTTTGTGGAATCCGCTTGCAATTTGCAAGTTCCGATTACAATTTTTGCCGACTCTACTCATTTTTGCGGCATCCAATAATTCTTTTTTGATTCCGCGTACAATTAAAAAGTCCAGGATGACGCTAATACAGCTTGTTGCGGAATCCGCGAAAAATTAAACGTGCTTACAAAGTTTGCGTTATAGGTATTTGTACGCGGAATCCATGGAAACTTTGTGAGAGGAACCCATTTTCATTTCGCAACATATATAAACACTTGTCTCTAGATTTGGCTGAACTACAGAAAATAAATTGTGGGCCTATCCAGTGCAGAGTTAGACTTGTGATGACAGAATAAAAGTAATTTGAAACAAACTGCAATCATTTTTATTTTAAAAACTAATCATTATGGAATTTGATTGTCTTTTTTTGCCCCTAACCTGCAAAGAAATGTTGGAAAAGTTTGTGATGAAAAAATTAGAGAAGACAAAGATTTTTATGATTCAATTAGCAAATTTTAAATATCAATAACCGCTCAAATGATCAGACAATTAAAACAAAGACAAATTTTTCTATAAAGTCAATTGGATTAAAAACAAACTTTTTCAAGTTTCTCCACCTAATACTATGACTATATTGTAATGTTAAGCTAAATGCTAATGCTAGCATTTTACAGTGTTTGAGTTTATTGATTACCAATGTCTCAAAAAAATTTTAAGTCGCTGTTCGACTCTATTCATCAGCTTTCGACAGCGTTCAACATTTTTTTATCAATGATGTCGAAAAAGCAAAAAAAAAAACTTGCCAAAAAGCTATAAAAAACAAACATTTTTAAACAGCAACGGACAACAAAAAAATTAAATCATATCCAGCCAAACTAAAATTAACTCAGTAATCTTGTCTCACAGAGCACCTCATCATGATATTTTAAATTTAAGGTGAAATTCAATGAAACATCACATCAACAAAAAAAAGCAACCAAAATAGTTTTTGTTCTGTTTTTTATTAGGGCCGCACCCCAGTTGAGTATTACGGAAATGAAACAAATCAAAATACGTAGAAAAATTTGCGAATCTATAAAAAACATAAAAGTTATTTGATCAATCTAAGTCATGATATCTTGTGGAAAAAAACTAGCCCCCCCCCCCTCCCTCAGGGATTCGACGCCCTGCCGACCCAATGGATACCCGCATTGAACTAATTTGAGATATCCATTTTTGGCTGATCGACCCTAAAAATTTTTTAAAGGCCGATTTTTACAAATTTTGAAGAAGCGCGCGCCGAAAAAACGTGACTTTTTCTGTCAAAATTTTCCAAAAAGTGGCTGAAAACGCATTTTGGCCTCTTGAAATAGTTCCAAATGCGGGAAATTTCGATTGGTCCAAATGCAGATTCTTAGAAGAAGGAGTCTTCCCCCAACCGGCGTACCCTCGCGGCCTCGTAACGATCGAACCAAAAACGGACCGAAAAATTGATCTCCTTTTTTTACTGTGATTGAAGACTACATCCGTCTCAGCTTTCCTCAATTTTTTTTGTAGTTTTCCACCTGTAATTTGGAAATAATTATTTTGGATTGAAACCTGATTTTGTTGAAGTTATTTGGCTCCATACTTTCTAATTGATGAGAAGTTAAAAGCATTTTGTTATAGGTCAAGCTAAACTTAGGGTACAAAAGTGATTTCGTCATGCATTTGAATTGTGTGACCTCTGAGCGCTCGATTGTTTGCTCAAATAATAATTTTCTAAAATAAACCGCGAGCGCAAAATAAAACTTATTATCGATTGGTCTCCAAACTCTTTTCCAGGTTTTATTAAAATCAATATCCAAGAAAACTCTGTTATTTTTCGTACAAGGGGGGTCTAGGGCAAATACCTGAACTTAGCTATTTAATAGAATGAATCTAGAACTTCAAACAAAAAATATTTCAATTATGCGATTCCAATTTGGTTGAATCTCGGTTTAAGGTCGCCGGTAGGTCGACTCTAATTTTGTACTACTACCCGATATTGTAAGTGAACGGTAGAAATCGGATCTTTGTCCTACTTTTTGAAAAAAGTTGGTTGTTTGCCCTAGTAGGGCATTTTCAGATGTTGCAAAGTTTTTTGCTTTTTCAAATGACATATCTAATCTTTACACGGTACCCTTTTAAAGGGTTCAATCAGTTCTGTTTTTGTTTATTTTTTTTCTGCATTAGCAGAACACATTCTAGTACCCATATGTTGTAGTTGTTTTCAGAAATTAGCATCTTTTCAGATTAATTGAACTTAAGGTTTTTTTTATGTAAATTTTTTTAAAAAACTTTCCTGGAAATTGAGTTAGTTTTAACCAGCTTTTTTGTGGTTAACGTCGCTTGAGTTGAAAACTAAGAAAAATTCATTGCTTCTACCGAGCATCTTTCTCCGGCAATTAGAAGAACCGCCAGAAAACAGAAAAAACTGTTGGAAATTTTTTGATTTTTCAGTTGGTTGGCTCGGACTATGATGGGAAATGAGCTCTCGTTTCATTTTTCAAATAAGTTTTTCAAGATCTTTGCTACTACTGGAAAAGAGCCCCCTCTCAATTGAACTAGACTGCTGTCAGTATGCTGTGTGAGTTGGTGTCTTATTTCGACGGGACTGGTCCCTTCCGTTTATTGCAGATCTGGTTAGTGGTCACTTCGGCAGCCCTGGTCTTCATCATGTTCAGTTCTGGCCTAGTGTTCTACTGGCTCTATTGGCCATCCAATGTGACCTACGAGAAGTGGCGATGCAAGGTATATCTTAAAGGTCAAGGCTAAATTATCTTATGACCCAGATACTTAAGTTCTTATCTTCTAATTAGATTCTTTAGAATACAGCCTATTGATTCTAAAGCTCATACCTTTTTTACCCAAAATTGAAATAATAAAAATCTGTATACGGACGGAAATTGTACCCCTGTTTTTTTCAATAACACAATATAAAATGATACAAACTATGCGGAACGAAGTTATTCGGCTCGAATCCGTTCAGTAATTTTTCTAAAACAGATCTGAAATAACCTTTTTCAGATCTAAGTTTCAGATCTGAAATAGGCAGTAAAATGTTTAATTAACGCTTGAGTACTTTATGGATTGGTTATTTCAGATCTTGTATCAAATCTGAAAAAAAAATTTCTTGGTTATTTCAGATCGGAAAAAATCTATTTCAGATCTGAAATTTAGTTTTTCTTGGTTATTTCAGATCTGAAATTTCTAAATTCTTATCAAGATCTGAAATAAAGAGTTTCAGATCTGAGACTCATTTTATGTAGGAATAAAAAATTTCAGATCTTGCACAGAAAATCCTTTGGGTACGGGATATAAAGCGCAGTTTTTGACATCTTTAACCTTCTAGAGGCTTAACGTGCAGGCATTGCAAGGTCTGAATTTTGGACAAAACAAAACAGAACTTTTCTTCTCAGACAACATATAACAACGAATTACGCTTTACGATTTAAGGGCAGGTTCAGATTTGTGCTCCCTTAAGTGCCTGTTTGTAAGTATCATTTTGGGCAATATTTAATAATTAATTAGGTTTCTAGTCAAGATTTAACGGAAAGGAAAGGATCATAGCTACCTAATGAAAATCATTTTATGTTATCAAGAATTTGCCAGTTTACTTGCGGTCTCAAAATTCCACTCTAATCATCTGCTCTACTCTAAGTCTCGCATAGGAGTGTCCACTTTTTTTCTAAAAAGCAAAATAAAACAAGACTGCGCGTATCAGGGCAAAGCCTTGAATGTTCCGACTGCCTTTTAAGGTCTATGAAGCAGTAATAACATCAAAAAAAATGTAAGGCAGTAAAAAGAAAAAAAATTGGGATTTTTTCTGAAAATCATCCCCCCCACACGCCATATAACGCACAAAGTGATAAATTTCGCTCCTAGTAACAACTCAATTATGGCAATTACTTCAACTAAATTGGAACGATTTTTAATGCGGATTAAGTCTCTGCTTACGCGTTATTAGCGCAAAATATATCGCGCGTTAATTGTCCCGAATTGGCCTTAATGACAATCTTTAAAGGCCCATAACTTAACGAAAAATTATCACAGGTGAAATATTTTTTCAAGTTAAAGCTCAGGACAACAATAACTTTTGAATGATGGTTAAAAAAATCCGCCAAAAATGGCTAGTTAGAAAGTCGAAATTCGTCTGAAGAAAAAAACCCACCCGAGCACAATTATTCCGTTACTTAAACTGTTACTTAAAGTTAAAACTGGCAAATTCAGACCCAAATTAAACTAGAAAGTCCTTAACCCTTAATGTCCTTAGTTCTGAAAAAAAAGAGTTTGTTTCAATTTTCAAAGAAAGTGACGGAATGTTTGCGCCCCCAAATAATTTTTGCTTCGACGTTTTAACTAGCTTTTTTGGCCAAGTTTTTTTATATCATTGGAAAAATGTCGATATTCAAAGAATAAAAGAAAAAACTTACCTGGTACCATTTGTTCTAAAAACAAAACCGGTCAATTTTGACACATTTGACAACTATAATTCAAATTGGGATAATGAATGCGCATTATATTTCGTCCAATTCAAGTGTCGGCGGATAACTGAATTACTCAAAATTGAACAGAAAAAAAATAACTTGCTCTTTATAGAATGTTACCAGACGCAAAATTCTTCTATTGTTACTTAACATAGCGTGTGTGGGGACAAAATTGAGGAATCAAACTACAAAAATTAGAATTTATTCAATTTTTTTGCACTTTTATAATTATTTTTTGGATTTGAAAAGCCACCATAGTAAAGGGCAACCGAACAATCAGGGCTTCGCCTTGACACGAGCCGTCTTGTTCAAATTCAAGCTTATTTATTTTACGCTTTAATTTTACGGCGGTTTTTGTTCGCGTTAATCTTGGATGATGCCAAATGGATGGACAATCTTGCATGGACGAAAATTCATAAGTAATTGATTGATTTCTTCATTTTATCATGCCACCTTATAAAGTGTGCAAAGGAATGGATATGACTTCTCATACTTGTCAAATTGGCTAAATTAGCAGTTTTTGAGCCCCATAGTTCTATGAAAAAAAATCACTGTGCTTATTAATCGAGCTCCGAGAAAAAATACCTTTGAGAAAGCTCTACAAGCTTCAGTCAAATACGCAAATACAATGGGATGAAGTTGACAAATTAGCAATTTCAAACCTCATAATTTTATTTAAAAAAAGGTCACAGAACTTTTTATTTGTGCTCTGGTAAAAATACTTTTCAGAAAGTAATACCAACTTTCGTCATACACAATTAGTAAAAAAAACCAAACTGAATTAAGTAACACCTTCTTCAAAAGTCGTACAATTCTGTCAGTCGGAACAACTAGCATGCCTCAATTCAATTTAAACAGTTTCTGAGCCAAATTAAAACCCCGCGTGTGCGTTAATAGTCAAAAATATAACACCTTCATTATCCAAATTTTGCTAAACTGGCAATCTTCAAATCAGCAAATTTTTCAAAAAACAATCACAAGTAAACTATCTTAGAAAAATGGGGTTCCAAAAAGCAATGGCTTCCAGATGGGCCTACCAAAAATGGCTAGTTGAAAAATTGAAACTTGCCAAGAGAACGTTTTATTAAGACAGAACAGTGATAGTTAACAGGGGGGTCAAATTTGGTGTGAAATTTTACGTTATTTTGAAGGCACCAAAAAAAATTCACGCAGTTTAGTTGACAAAAACATGCTCATGAAATTTGGCGGATACATTTTACTTTTTAAAAGTGTTGTCCACCTTTTTCTCTCTTTTAATAGCTGCCCTTCAAACTAGCCATTTTTGATAAGATCATTTAAAACCTATTGATGTTAGGATTAGTAAAACACTTTTAGTGAGACTAATTCGTTCAAAAAAAAATTGACAACCAGACTGAAAAGGGGAAGGGAGTTCCTTTCAACACCCCCCCCCTCCTAAGTATTTTACTGTTAACAAGAAACCTGATGTTTCAGTCCAACCCCGCCTACCCGTCTGTGGAAAAAGTGCGTGATGAAATTGTACAGATGCTGAAAGGACTCTGCTGCTCGACCATCTTCCCCTCCCTCTCCATTTACCTCAGTGCTACAGGCTCCACCTCCCCCTCCCTCACTCAGGGCTTCTGTGGGTGGTGGGATTTTTCACTCGGCTATCATCTGTTCAGCCTGTTTGTCGTGTGGATCGGCTCCGATTTCTACGAGTTCGCCTATCATAGATTGGGTAAATATCTACTCATAGTTAAAGTATTGAGTTATTAAGTTTCTTTGTTATGTTTGATTTTATGATTTTGTTTATTACTCAATCACTCCAATTGCTTCATTTATTAAGGTTTTTAAGAGTCTAATCATGGCCTGAAAAATGGAACAATTCGTACTTCAAAACCAAGTTTAAAAAGAGTAAGAAAAACTAATCGAAATCCCGAGGAAAAGCGCTATGTTTGAACTGGATACTTTCTTCGTTTCGCAATTTTAAATACTTGAATGCAATTTTCAGTTAAAATTTACTTCTTGCGATTTCTGAATTTGTTTTAGGTCATGTGAGCTTTCCGTTCTGGAAGCACCACAAACATCACCACGTGTTTTACAATCCATCTCCATTCGGTGAGTTGTTAGGCTTTTTTTAGTTCCTCGCCATCAAAAGGCATTTTGAGTTTGAGCCCTTGAACCATTGCTTTTACGAAAATCAAATACTTTTATTTAGGTGTAGAAGAACAGTTTGAGTTTTTTTCCAGGAAGGTCTTAAAATGCTCTAAGAAATACAGATTGAATTGATACATATTAATGCATTTTTGAGTTCAATTCAGGTTGTTGAGCAAAAATAGCGAAATACCGTGGTTTGATCCCGAAACCATCACCTTATTGGACATGTATGCTAACTACTCGCCTCGAACCCTTCGATATACCGAAAATATACGGTTTATCAATTCAAACTCTCAATTGACAGCTACTAAAATATCTCAAGTCTTAGCGCTGATTTTCTACGGAATTATTACTGAAGTAGCTCTGAAATATTGCAAGTTTAGCTATGCAAAAAACTCTGAACTATATATGAATCACCGCTGGAAAACAGCGATCACTGGGATACTACAGAAAAAGCGATAATTAACGTTGGGACTTCAACCCGGGCAATTACTTTTTCGTAATTGGAGAGAGCAGTTTCATCGCTGAAAATTAGCCAAATTAGCAGTACACGTATACGAGCTGCTGAAATTACTATCTAAAGTAATCAGACAAGAACATGAAAATGTCAAAGTGAACCATTTCTTTTCAAAACAAGAATTGGACAATTCACTCGATACCACTAGAAGAATAAAATCACTAACAACAAAAAAAATTAACGCAAAATAACCAAAAATTATTATCTGTGCAAATACGGACACTATAGATTTCTTTAATTAATTTCAATATGAATATCATTAAAGAAGAAAGTCTTGAAATGCTCTAAGAAATATAGATTGCATTGATACATATTAATGCATTTTTGAGTTCAATTCAAGTTCTTGAGCAAAAATAGTGAAATACCATGATATGATCCCGAAACGATCAGCTTATTGGACATGTATGCTAACTCCTCGCCTCGAACCCTTGGATATACTGAAGTTATAGGGTTTATCAAATCACACTCTCAATTGACAGCTACTAAAATTTCTCAAGTCTTAGCGCTGATTTTCTACGGAATTATTTCTGAAATAGCTCTGAAATATTGCAAGTTTACATATGCAAAAAACTCTGAACTATACATGAATCACCGTTGGGATCCTACAAAAAAAGCGATGACTAAGTGGGATTTCAATCCGGGCATTTACTTTTTCGTAATTAGAGAGAGCAGTTTCATCGCTGAAAATTAGCCAAATTAGCAGTAATCTAACGATACATTTTGCTATTGTGGCAATGAACATCGACAAGACATCAATGATGATCGCTGCTTTTTTTTCAATTTTTTATTGCTAATTTTCAATGTGACCTAAGCCCTGGTGGGACAAAAAATAATTCGTTTCGAAATTGGGTTTAATTTTTTAGAATTCCCAGCTTGTTAAAAGTCACTGAACGTAGTAAAGACACTTATATAGATCTCGGTATTGTTTTTTCAGGAAAACTTTGTTCATTCCGAGCAGCTTTTTTCTTAGATTTTTCACACTAAAGTTTGATTTTTTGCGGTTTGACTTTTGATTTCTTCTTAAGATCAGTTCATTCATTTTGCAATAAGGAAGACAAATTTCCACTATTGAACAGCAAAAGTGTATAGATCACAAAAAACGTGATTAACTTCTAGTTTCGAAAATAGGTTATATCAAAAAATACTTATTGATCCAGTTTTCTCAAGATGGGATAATTTCATCAAAAAGATGCCAATCATGAAATGTTCTTGAAACTCAAGGAAATTTCAGGGCCTATATATTTTTCTGAAATTTGGAAGTTGAATTTTTTCTAAACATTTCGAGGCCAAACTGTGCACTGGATTGACGCACAATTTTCTGTCTGTATGTTTCTGGATCCCAGAGACAAGTCTTCAAAAATGCTCAAAATCGTCGGAATGATCAAATAAAATTAAAAAACCAATGAAGAACAAATGGAGCGTCTTTGTTGCGGAGTTCGCTTACAATTCACAAAATGCACAATTTGGCCTCATCTTGAAAGTAATTTGATTTTTTGAGCAATCTTCTTCTGTTTCCTTGCATTACTTGACTCTTTTCCACTTGTCTGTTGGCTATGTTCATTACTTGAGTTAAATAAAAAAGTGCTAATCATGAACAGTTAATAAAATTCAGGAAGGTATAATCTTTCAAAATTTTTTATTCGACTGTGTTCCCCAATGAAATCAATCTGATTTCAAAATGGTTTGCTATGACCGGTTTTTCTGTATTATGTAGAGAACTTGTTTTGTGTTCAACCTCGTCTGGGAATGGCATGGAAATCGTGTGTGGAAGGGATGCCTCGTAACTCGGATCTGTACGTTTACTTGAACATCGAGGTGGTCATTGGTCTAGTTCAATGAAGTCCTTTTCTGCGAAGTCAAGTCGTACTCTAAATCCTTTGAGTTGTGATTGTGGACGGCATATCGGTTGTGGTTAGCCATTCTTGTTCGAGTGTGATGGAATCATTTGTCTTTGGATGTTTGTCTTTGTTGTTGTGTGTCAATCTATATACTGCAAGGTATGATTTACATTTTATAAAATTTTATTAGTTCGGTTTTTTAATCATGAATTTAGTTAGTTGTTTTCACAAAAGCTTTTTTGTTTTAGTTCGGTTATTTTGAAGAGTTACTCACCCTTGAGCACCTCTTATTAAAAATAGAAGTGTGGTCACAAAGCGTGGATGTAGCGCGGTGGGTTAGGCCGGCTATAGAGCATGCTCAGGACGTCCTCTCTGGTGGGTTAGGCCAGGAGTGGGAGTATGATTTCGTGCGGTTTCTTTGAGAGGTCCTGTTATGTGATAACGTTTTATGTTGGGTTTATGTTGGTCTTTTTTTTGTTTCTTTGGTTGTGTCCTTTTTTCAAAAATCAAATTGTTTTTGTTATGGGTTTGTCTTGCGACTTTTTTCTGTTTTATTATTTTTTTCTTAGACTTTATAATAGTCTTCAAAAGAATAAATTATCCAGTTTTAAACTGGGTTAATCCGGTTTGGGTACCGTTGGTTTTCTTTCCTAGTCATGCTGTTATTTTATGATTTGTGGTGTTTAGTAAGCTGCGTTGGTTAGTTTGGTTTAGTATATAATTCCTTTCCAACCGGGTTAAAGGAAAGTTTGAAACTTGTTATGGTGTGTTAGAGTTGTTGAGTGTGAAAACTTGAAACTTAAAATCATTATTTAAACAATTCTTCGTGGGCGAGCTGTGCGAGTTTGGATAGAATTCTTGTGCCAGTGAATGAAAAAATCAAAAGGTTAGTACTGCATTTTCATTTTATCAATTTATTACATAGAACTTCAAATTTACTGCTTTTTGTTGGGGGAAATTTAAAGTTATAAATTTTCATCGTAATTAAATTTACCGCTTTATGGGGAAACAATTTATAAACTAATTTACTACATTTGGTATTAATTTTAATATATTATCTTGTGCAAAATATTAATGAAGTTTAGAAGAATTAGTTTATTTTTTATTTTTCTTTTCTGTTTTTTTTTGCAGATGATCGTGGTATGAAGACTAGAAATGTGAAAGAAACATGAATAAAGAATGGTTAGTACTAATTTAAATTTATTAGTTAAGAAAATTTTTAAATTATACTTACCTGTTAATCGTCTGGGAAAAAGCCGTGGGGGAAGATGTCGTGTATCATGTCCGATGTTGTTAGTAATTTTGCTAGTATGCGAATGATGTTTTTAGTTTGAAGCAGTGGCCAAAGCAATTGAAGTGCTTTAATGGTTTTTAGTTCTTCGGTGCCTACTGCAAACTCATAAGGTGTGTTTTGAATGAGGTTATATATTTTGGGATTATATTTAGTATTGTGAATAAATTCTAATATTGGGATTTCTATAGGCTGGATAAATTTATGTGGGATAAGGAAGGGTCTGGATTCTTCGGCGTTAAAGGTCTTCGTGATGAGACAAAATATATACATTTGTGTTACTGGGTCATAATTGCGGAGGATGCCGTGGAGGTTAGTATCCTTGATGCAATAGGTGAAATTATGAAAAAATGGTGAAGTGTACTTCGAGTTAAGAAACTGAAAACGATGGTGTGGTTGTCTCGATGGAGTATGTAAATCAAAATGATTTTGTATGAAGCGATAGTATGTATATGTATGAGTCTGTTTAGTGCGTAACATAATGTCGTGTGAACAGTGCAAATTGCGTTCATGTGGTGCAAAGAAGTGAAAATAACTGAAATAACTGAAATTTGTCTTGAAAACTAACTGAAATTTGTCTTGAAAACTTTCGTAAGCTTGAATATCATTTAGTGCTTCAGAAATGATGTGATCATATTTTCTATCAAAAAAATTAAGTGTGAATACATATGACGTTTTGATGAAAAATTTTTCTGTTAGTTGTGGGTTAGCGAAGCGGTCGTCATCTAGAAATTGGTCTTGATTAGTTCGGATGATATTATAGTCGTAATATTCTATTGTAAATTCGTTAGCACGAGGTGCAGTGAATGTTTTTAGTAATTTTTTATATCCTATAAAAATAAATTGTCTAGGTGTTAGTGTTGCGGTGAGTCTATATAGCATATCTTTATTCTTTTCTATATCGTCATGAGTACTAGATAGTGGCAGGCAAAGGGGATTAGTAAAATGGTAATATGCTGTCCAGTGAAGTGTGGGCATTAAAACATGTTCATCTACAAAACTACGTGTGTCGTTAGTGTCGTTAGGCGTGTTTAATGTATATTGTGGGAATGAGGGTAAGGTGATTGCTAGAAAATCCTTAGTGTTTGTGTGTTGTGGATGATTAATATATTCGCAGGCTGTTCCGGGTTTGGTCGGGAATGGGTGATTCGGGAATTTTCGTTTAAAAGTGCGATAAGCTCGGTGAGTGCTATTCGATGTTTTGGTGGATGTGGATGATTGTGCTAATGATGCAGTGTAAGCTGAGGAGGGTGTAGGAGTAGGTGGGTTTGAGGATTCTATTGTGGATGAAATTTGATGTATGGTGAGGATGTTAGGGTGTATTAACTGTTGCTGTATGGTGAAAAAATTATCGAGTTCCTGGGAAATTTGGGGGGTATCTGGAGAATTATTAGATGATTGATCGGAATGAAATGGAGAGTAGCTTGGGGTGTTTGCGAAGCATAAGAAGGAGTGGAAACGGATGGGAGTGAATTATTTAGTGGGATTGGTTGAAAAGGGGGTTTTGAAAAAACTGAGGAGTTGGTTTGAAAACTATTGGATATAGATAGTTCGGAGTCTGCAAATTCGTCAGGGGTTTCTATATTAGAGTTATTAAGTTGTGAGATGGAGTATAAAACTGAAATATCCGAGTTAGTATCCGAATTCGTGCTTGATGATACATTAATACTTGGGAAATCGGGTGGTGGGAAAGCAAAAAGTGGGATTATTGGGATTGGAGTGTGGAGGTTGGTTGCGTGGGAATTTGAGCGGTGTAGGGATCAAAGTTGTCGGCCCATCGTGGGCTAAAAAAATGATTATTTTGAGACTGAAAAGCGGTGATATGGGGTTGTTCTATAATTTATTCATATGTATTATCATCTTGTGAATGATGTGTCATTATAAGTTGTATGGGACTTTGTGATATATTTGGTCTAAAATTTGGGTTATGTGTTATTGCTAGGTTTCGGAAATTACGTGGGACTAAGGATAATGGATGGTTATGTGGTAGGGGTGGCAACTGTGGTGCGGTAGGTGTTACTTCTATGTTATTATGTTCTTCGTCGTACATGTTCTGTCTTGTCGTTTTTTTTTATTATATTCTTTTATTTGTGCGTCTAGAAGAATTTTGTTTTTTGATGAAGAAGAAATTCCAAAAAATCCTGCAAATAGTATGCGTGCTACACTTGCTTTTCTATTTACTTGTGTTTGTATAGCGCATGTGTTATAGATTCCTTTTAAAGTGAAAAAAAGAAATCCTATAAAGTTAAACATTGCGTATAGGATAGTTAATTTTTCTAAGATGTAAAAGGGCCATCCTAGAAAATTGCGAATGGTGTTTTAGGTCTGTATTTTTCACCGTTTAGATATATATAGTCTTTAATGTCTTTAAAATATCCGCTATAATCTTGTGTATAAATATCTGCAAATCCTGCGGTTTCGGCAAGTTTTCGTAAATTTATTGCCCTTATTGAATTGATTTTTTCTCTTTTTCTGCTAATTTTCATTTCCCAAACTTATCGGCGAGCGAAACTTTCCTTGAATTCGAAAAATTTTGTCAGTCATTTTTTAAGTTTTTCAGTCAGTCAAAAAGATGAATTCGAAAGTCGATGTTACTAAAAATTGCAATAAACGAAATATATTGCCAGTAAATTTGAAACGAAACAACTTGGATATTTTAGCTGTTTAAAATGCTTTTTAAGGGTAAACGGTGGTAAAATACTGTCACCTTTTGTTTTTTTAGCCGTGATCGCAGATGAATGGATTGACCAGTTCGTGAGGTCAGTGATTTACCACACATTTGAATTAATCATCTTCAAGCAACAAACTTCTTGAAAATTAAACTCAAAATTTGTTTAGGTCACTTCCAGTTCTTCTAATTCCTGTGGTAAGTGCCTACAATCTCAAACTTCAAAAAAATATAAAGACGCAGTTATAGTCAACAAAGCTCTGAGAAGCTCAATTATAATGAGAAAGGTCAGTTATCATTAAACTCGTTTGAAAACTCAGTTAGAATCAAAAACTGCCAGAAACTTGTTGGTTCCGATAGATAACGAGCTTATAAAAAGCCAGTTTAAAAAACTAAGATCAACTTGAATTTTATATTTACTGGACAGCTAGACTGCTAGATTTTAAGATGGCTAAAAACATGGCTTAACTGCAAGATGCAATCAGCGAAATTGACTGTGAACTTAAAAGTTCAAGTAGCTTCAAGTCATTCAAAATTTCCATAAAATTGATGTCAAACGTTAACTGCACTACTTCGAAAAAAAATCAAAAATCAAAAAAAAATTTTTTAAATAGAATGAACAACTGAACTGAAACTCTGGCTTAATTTCTGTAGCTGATGCCGGTAAATCTGGACCTTCTGTTTGTGACGTATGCAGTGTGTTTCTACTTCTACGGAGTGTACCTCCACTCGGGCCACGAGTTAGACTGTCTCTCCGCCCACAACAAATACATCAACACCTCATTCCAGGTAATATTTTTTGGGTCTTTTCTGTTATATGGCCCAAAATTGGCTTTAGTCTATTTTGAAAATTTGATCATAATGCTTGATTCTGATTGGATGAAATTAACAAATGCGAAGGAAACCTGTAGTTCAATTCTAAACATATTGGCCCATTCAAAGTTTGAATCAAGTTAACATCCTCCAGTTAAAATCTTCCACCCCAGAATTTATTTCGCATTAAATTTGCTAAGCGCTGCATGTAAAATGCTCGATTCTGATTTAGGACCAAATTAACACCCCCCCCCCCCAACGGCTTTGGGAGGGGGGGGGTAGGGGAGAATGTTTAATTGATCCCGAAGTTTTGGTAAACTTTGGGCCGCATAACAGAAAAGAACCCTTTTTTGGAATGAAATCATTGTAATAAAACACCCTACTAAAAACCCTCCTTTTTCCCATCCATTTTCAAAGCGATACAAATCAGTGCTTACAACTTAGTAAAGTTATTCATGTTGCTATTTATGTTTTTTGAGTTCTTAGTTTTTGAAACCCGTATATATTTTTCGATTTAACACGAGGTAATTAAGTCATAGCTTAGGTGTTCTTTCTAGGAATGGCCATTGGCTGCTCAAATAAAAATCAGATCGATTACTTTTTCTTTTTTTTTCTTCACGCTCAGGTGCGGATTTGGGGGAAGGATTGGACGTTCCCCTTTCAAGGATTCGACCCCCTTAATTTCACGCTCAACTTTGTTTTGATTTATGTATTTCGCTTTTTTGCGAGGCAGTTGTAAAATGATAGCAAGTACTTTCTTTTGCATTTTTCAGCACTATTGTCACCATGCGAAATCACTCATGAACAAACCATACCATTGTGGTTTCTTCATTAAACTGTGGGACAACTTGTTCAGCTGTGTCTACCCTGAAGACAAGTGCTTCTGTGCAGAATGTTCTAGAAGCAAAGGCGAGAGAAGTTTTGAGGCATACGAGAAAGTCCATGTGCCCGACTACTCGCTCCTGTTCGAAGCCAAGACTTGGCTCGGAAAATCAGTCTAAATTCCGGCGTGAGCAAACTGCTAGGTTATACGTGTGGAATCACGTGAATTATCTAGAAGCATAACAATGAAATCAAAATATACTTGGAATACTTTTGGTTTAGTTAACACGTGCAAACCATTTACCTCAAGACAGTTTTTCTAAAGAAATTTCTATGAGAAAAAACAAATCCTTATAAAATTATCCTCTTGGAAACTCTCGTTTCACTAAAATCATTTTGAAATGTCCATCGGACTTTTTGTGCCGAGAGTTTTAGAGTTTCTAAATAGGACGAGTTAGAAAATAATTTCTACATTTTGAACGAAGAAATTACATGTAGCGAGAACATACAAAACTGATTAAAAAACTTATTGTTCCGGCAACTCTTTTGTATTCGGGTGTACTTTGGTTTTCTCTACTTTTCTGTTTTGCACGCAAAATCAGGTACCACATACAATTGTATATTATGTTTTTTTATGCAATTTATGCTCAAAAATTCAAAACATATCAATCTTAAACAAAACTGGCGACTAAGAAGAGTTTTATGGGCAAAAAACCACAAAAAAAAGAAGAACTAAGTGAAAAAAAAATTTGTAAGGGCCGGTCACTAGGTCAATCCAACCCGATGGAATATCGGATTCAGAGAAACTTGAAAAATATCTGAAAACTCTTTCCTTTTCTGTAGTGGTAGAAACCAGGTTGAGGTTATTCTGCAATAATTGTCTAGTTCTGAGAAATGAGTCAAAATTGTCCATATAACAATTTTTAATTTCTGATTGCTTTTTAGACAGAGTTTTGCAACCGATTGGAGACTTTTTTGAAAATACGAATATTGATTTAAGTTCAAAAACAGCTTTCTGGTGGTAAAATTAATCAAAACTACTCAATTTATCGCAATTAAGTTATATTCTATAGATAAAATTCTATAGATAAAAAAATTACGTTGGATTTTCATGAGCTGTCTCCATAAAATCTATAAAATTTAATAACAAGGAATTAACAAGACTGCTCGTATCAGGGCGAAGCCTTGAATGTTCCGACTGCCTTTTAAGGTTTTATGGAGCAGTAATAACATCAAAAAATTAAATGTAATAAAATAAAATGAAAATTTTTTTTCTTCTAAAATTTGAAATTTTTTATGAAAATCATCCCCCCACACGCCATATAAAGTACAAAAAATAAATTTAGCTCCTTGTAACAAATCAATCATAGCAAATAAGCTTCTTTCAACCAACTTGGAACGGTTTTAAGACGGATTAAAACTCCGCTTACGCGTTAATAGCGCGAATTACATCGCGCGTTAATTGTCCCTAATTGGTCAAAATTGCTAAAATAGCAAATTTTAAACCTTCATAACTTTACAAAAAATAATCACAGGTGAATTATTTTTTCAAATTTAAGCTCAGGACAACAATACCTTTTGAATGATAAAAAAAAATTCCGTCAAAAATGGCTAGTTAAAAAGTCGAAATTTGTCTGAAGAAAAAAAAACCCACCCCGAGCACAAATATTCCGTTACTTTCGTATCGAAAGTCGGAACAAAAAGCTTTGTGTGCATGAGTTACAAAAATCTCGATTCCTTTTCCATGGTTTGCTAAATTGTCGTCTTCGCATTGCTAACAATTTTAGCAGAAAATTTCATTTTATATCAAAACTAATCTTGCGAAGGTGTGGCTGTGTTGCATGAATGTTGTTCGCATTTTTCATATTTATGGTTGCTGTTTTTGTTCCAACTTTCGATACGAAAGTAACGGAATATTTGTGCACGGGGTGGGTTTTTTTTCTTCAGACAAATTTCGACTTTTTAACTAGCCATTTTTGACGGAATTTTTTTTATATCATTCAAAAGGTATTGTTGTCCTGAGCTTAAATTTGAAAAAATATTTCACCTGTGATTATTTTTCATAAAGTTATGAAGGTTTAAAGTTTGCTATTTTGGCAAATTTGACCCATTTGGGACAATTAACGCGCGATGTAATTCGCGCTATTAACGCGTAAGCGGAGATTTAATCCGTCTTATAAATCGTTCCAAATTGGTTGAACGAAGCTTATTTGCCATAATTGATTTGTTACTAGGAGCGAAATCTATTCTTTTGTACTTTATATGGCGTGTGGGGGAATGATTTTCATTAAAAAATTTCAATTTTTAGAAAAAAAAAATTTCGTTTTATTTTATTTCATTTAATTTTTTTAATGTTATTACTGCTGCTCCATAAACCTTAAAAGGCAGTCGAAACATTCAGGGCTTCGCCCTGATACAAGCAGTGTTGGTCATGTTTATGTCGCATGGTTGCTCTATACAAGATCTTGCAAGTTCATTGCGAGATCTTGCAAGATTAATGCAAAATCTTTTAAAATTGTACATAAACTTTTTGATATTCTTCATAGGTATTTTCAAGATTTCACGGTAATTTGAAAGCCTGCTCATGATTTCATTCCGATTGTTTCAGACTGAAAGAATTTTTGAATTTGAAAAAAAAACGAGAAGCAGTTTTTCATGTTTCTATGATTCAAATGGGTTATCCTATGTCAGTTGTCTCAATAGTTTTAATGTTTTCTGACACATTCTGGTTTTGACTTCCAATGAAACAGTTCAGCTTCAAATCCCTGAAGGAAGAGCGTCCGCAACTCTCAAAACCCGCCCCTGGAATTCAATTGCATTCAAAACAAAAAATTGAAAACTAAGCAAAATGACCAGATTAGCATTTAACAGTACCATGGGCATATATGTCAAGCACCTTTTCACGATTAAAATTAGCTTGTTGATTAAAATTAGCTGGCCAGTTGGACAATTTAAGACCCACCTATAAAACTGGCAGCCTTCGAACGGCAGAGGCCTTGGCTATATTTCACACATATTTTCTTCAGGATCGAAACTGCTCAAAATATTTAGCCTTAATATTAATCGGACCATTCAAATGCAAAAAAAAAATACAATTTCTATATTTGGGGTGCAAAAAAAAACAAATTTTTTATTAAGTTTTCTTAAATGTGTTAACAACCTGCAATAAAATTTCATGAATATTAATCGATTATATTTTTGTTTTCAGTGTCAGACTCTAATAAAATTCTTTTTATTCGACTAAAAATGGAATATAATCCATTCTTTTTAGAAAATCAATAATAATTGATTATTATTGATTAAAAACGGATTATAATCTATTCTTTTGACAATTTAAAATAATCAAATTTAGTTGATTTTAATCGATTACAATGGATTTTTAAAATTTTTTTTCTAAAGTTTGTCTGATATTTTTAACCCAGTGCAGTGTTTTCACAAAGTGGCATGTGTTTTAGGTTTACTGTTTTATTAGAAAATTGTAAAATTGAGATTTTCTTTGGCTAAAAAATGGTTATCTTGTCAAATTTTTCCTTTCACAATTTTTTATGTTTTTTTTTCTATTTTTCGATAAATTTTTGTAACTTCTTCCCAATTTACATCCCACTTTCCCTCTTATGTGGACCAAAATTAATTTCAACTGATTGCAATCATGGTTTTGTCAAACTGCGTCATGTTACAGCCACACCCAATTTCGTGGAAATGATTTTTAGTTCAACGGAGATGCCGCCGACGATTATCATAAGCTTTTCAGGCTAACCTCGAGGTGCAACTTTACTTTATACTTACACTAATTTCACGAAATTTCCGTTGAATGCCCATCCGTTTTGATTACCCCAAGGTTTTACCCACTTTACTCATTTTACCCTATCCCCCAAATGACCCCTTTCTCAGTTTACCCATCCCCCTACGTTAACCACCTCCCACCTGTGAAAAGGGTTTAAAAAATTTTGTGGGGGAGACAAAATTTTAGTTCGGGTAAGCTTTCCGGCTCTCGGTTGAAACTTAAAAAAAAACCAAATTAAAGTATCATTCTTCCGGGAGCTCAAATTAAACAAATTTTACCATTGATTTACTTTTTGAGAACTTTGGGAAGTTGAAAACTGCTAATTTTGTCAATTTTGGGATAATTAACGCCTAATATAATGACTTCGTATAGCCTGCGTAAGTGGCGAATTCAATCGTTTCAAAGTGAATTGTGGCAACTCAGTTTTTTTAAATGATATCAGACGCTGAATACATTTTTTTGTAGTTTACATAGAGTATGAGAAGATGAAACAAAAACCACTTTTTTCTTGTTTTTTTTCAATTACTTTATCCATTATTCAACCTAATTTTTTTGATTTGGGTTGGAGCGTTACGAGGCCAAACTGCTCTTTGGATGGGCGCTTAATTTGGTATTTACTGTCTCTAGGTCGGTGGAATTCAGAAACAATTTTTGAATTATTTTTCAAAATATAAGTGGATTCCACTAACAACTTTTTCCGTGCATCCCGCGTCCAAATACTTGTAGCATAAGTTTTGTCAGCAAATATTTTTTTCGGGGATCGAGTAACAATCAAATAAAACTAAATAATGTTTTGATTCTGGATATATAAGCAGATTTTGCAAGCTGTAAGCGGATTACGCAAGTTAGTATAATACACTGAGCTAAACCAGTTCCTGTGTATGAACAATTTTAAAAAAGAACAGTTATCTAGCAGAAGCGGAATTTAATAGCAAGGACTTAGCCAGTGCCAGCTGGATCTACGAAAAAAATCCCAAATCATTGTTTAAATAATCATTGGTTGGTAACTTCTAGTATTTGAGATGAGCTTTCTAGCAAGCAGTTTCTAGGATCATAGTTTTGGAAATACAACACCACAAATTGTCGAGTAAAAGTTTTACTTAGGAGAAAAATCAACCATTAATTGAGATTCATCAGTGTTTTAGATCAAAAAGCAACACCACACATCACCGAATAAAATCATTATTTGGGATTCGCCTCATGCATCATTTGAGATTTGTCGGTATTTGAGATCAAAACACAACACCACAAATCACTGAGATAAATCCTTATTTGGGATCAGTATCATGCAACTTTTGAGATTTGTCATCATTTGAGATCAAAACACAACAAACAACACACATCACCGAGGTAAAGTTTTATTTGGGATTAGAATCAACCAATAATTGCGATTCGTCAGTATTCAATATCAAAACACAGCGTCACATATCAGCGAACAAAATCATTAATTGGAATCAATATCTTGCAACAATTGAAATA